AAAGAGATAAGGAAGATGTGATTAAAGGAAGCCAGCTGCATACCAAGACAAGGATATAAAGGAGATGTGACTCTAATGGAGGGACCAGGAGGTGCTTAATTTCAAAGCACTAATAGTTTAGTGATAGATGACGAATGCAATTATGTAAGAGGCCAATAATTTTGCCTCACTTGGATGTATAAATAGAGGCCTTCGGGCCTAGAGAAAAACAGAATGAACTGGAGAGAGAAAAATATTGAGCACTCAACTTGTGAGAAAGCTAAGTTTTCTGTTTGATCCTGTCCCAATTATGCGATATCAATAATACTTTGATATTATTATTCACATTCCAATCATTTCAGATAGAAATGAGTTTCTAAACTACTTTCCCATAGATTCTTAAAAGATTGAAGGAATTCTCTCTTACTTTAACAAAGGAGGAGTTTTCTTTATTGAGAATCTGGAGTTTTGATTCTTAGAAAAGATACAGTGAGAGCAACGGCTGGAATAGCAAGGATCCCGTGAAGGCAGGAAGCCGTTGGGAATAACTTGCAAATTCAGGGGCTTGAAGGTCACTCTGTTCTAAGGATAAAAGCAAAGGAACAAAATTAAGGTAAAACTATTAGCTTTGTTAAATTTAGAAACAATTTTCCTAAAATCTTGAAAGAATCGTAGGGATTACTATAATGATGTTTATTTACATCCTTGTATTTAAATATGCCAGAATATACAATTGATGGAATAGATAATTTATTAAAAAGAATGATAGATAGAATGAGATATATTTCTCAGATAGGTTCTCAATTAAAAGATACAAATACTGAAGAATTTAATAAGATTGATGAAGAGATGCAAAGATATTTTAAAGATTGTGCTAATATATTTCAATCTAGGATGGAATTATATAATAAAATCCAAGAAAATTCTAGAAGATGAGAAGACCTCTCAGAAATACTAGAGATAAAGAATGGAAAGACATGGTTTTTAGTAGAACATTGAGATTCTATTTTAAAATTATAAATAATAGATTAACGATAAAATATATTAAAGAATATTTAGAATACTCTAAACCATGAAAAATATAAAAATAAATTATTATAATTTGTTAGACTATAGTTTGATATATGCTAAATGCTAGGATACACTGTAAAAGGATTTGATAATCTGTTAGAAAAAATGTTAGATGAAATAAAATTTATTTCTCAAAAACTTGATAAGATAGAAGAAAATATTGAAAATACAAACATATTAACTGATGAACTTGACAAAAAATTTAAAAGATATGTTGAAGGTTATTCTAATATATTACAACTTAGAACGAAATTATATATTAAAATTCAAGAAAGAAGAAATGCTAATTCTGAAGAAAATTATACCATAGAATAAACCTATTCATAAAGAAAGGATATGACTTGTAATAAAAAGGATTATTTCATTAAAGGTAAACTAGACTTTTCCATAAAAACTCAAACGGATCTAATATACCTGGCTATTTTGAAAAATCTCCAGAGAGAAAAATAGTGAGGAGGGATAGGTTACGAGAATGAGTGGGTCTGGCTAGGGTTGAAATAGGGGGAAGAATTGGGCTTATGTTTCCAGATGGTTTTTCTAGGCCGAGTACTTTAGTCCTAGTGGACCTTAATTTAGTATACGGTGAGACTGACACAAATAGCACTAAATGATCATGTGTAGAAATAGAATCCTTTTTGGAATATTTCTAACGAGATATATTTGCAAATGGTAACTGAAATTAGTCCCGTGAACACAATGGAAGATTATCCTTTTTCATTATATTGATTACAATAGGTCGACCTAGATGTGGAGCTCAGCAGATGACTTATTATCATCGCTTTTATGT